TCTGAGAGGGGGCACAGCTAATCTACCACATAGAGTTACTAATAAATCTTCTATGGTTAAATCCCAGCAACAACAAATACATCTTTATACCACTTCGAAACAATGCATGGTCAGTCTGAACCTTTGCAAGCAAGGAGCTCTACAAAGACAATTCATACCGGAGAAAGGCTACACCCTGTGGTTCTTTTCATACACGAATACCTATCAGTTTGAAAGAAAACTGTAGGATTTGGCCTTTAGCTGCTATACATTTGACTTGGAGTTTGTGATTAGGGCTGGGCAGTAAGCAAGAATTCCTCTTTGTGAAAATTTGCTGCTGACGGTTCCAAATTTGATTTCATTTTGCCAAAATCACAAAGCCCTTTTGATTTTTGTTTCTTGTCATGAAATAAACATTAAAGCAAGGGAGAGCCCACATCTTTGAACAGCCAATAACTGGTAATCACAAGAAATGTTAGCGAGCCTGCAGGATTCCCAGGGTCTAAGCACAAACGCAAACCTGAGCTCTTCATACCTCAGCTGAATGCTCTATCATTTAGATAGGCAGTGGCAATGCTGTACCTTTTACTCTTCCCGATTTTGACTAGAAAAAGCACCTCAGACCTATAAAACCTTCCCTATTAAATTTTAATCAAAGCCAAAACCAGTGAAATGCTTTAGTTTCACTGAAAAGTTCCCAACCATTTCCATTCACAATGCTGCCTTGCTGTAAAGGCTCTGGCCTGCAAATACAGCAACCATCTGCTTGCTCCTAGTTGAAAGAGTTATTCCTTTAGCCTGACTTGGACAGGCCTAAGACTTTATTGCAGAAACCTTTTAAACCCAATGCCTGCTAAAATCACTGTGCTTTTTGTGGCTGTGACCCTGATGAGATAAATAAGGGGGTTGGAACTAAATGATCTTAAGGTCCTTCTCAACCCCAAGCATTCTGTGATTCTATGACAATAGGGATTTCTCCACTGATATTTAATACCTGAGAAGGGCTTGAAGATATAGCTCTAAAAGAATAACCCAAGGTAATGCTGGGAAAGGGGCAGCCACCACATCCTCATTATAACTGATCCTCCCGGAACAAGTCACTCAACATACTGGAATGAGCAATTAAACATCTCATTTATAAGGATAATAATACAGTAAAAGAAAAAATTAGCAATGTACTTTGGTAAGCACATATGATGTCATCCCAGCTTCATTCCCTTTTTTTTTTTGTAGGATATCTGACATAAAAGATAATGCAGGAGCAGTATGTATGAAGATGTGATATATTTCGACTTCAGAAGATCCAACAGTCTCTTGAATAAGCTAACAGAATATGGAGGATGTTAAACCACCATCAAGACACTTCAAACAGCTCTAATCACCAGACTGCTATCCACCAGGGACGGAGGTTTTAGTGGGTTGCTACCGCAGTCCACTTTTGTGACTTGATCTCTTCAATACCTTAACACCTTCATAATGGAATGGAAAGAAGGCACCTGACTTTTATCGATGACACCAAGCTGGGGGCACGTGCAAGTTCTTTGGAGACCAGGATCTCCAATGGTCTCCATGGAGAAACCAACCAGATGGCATCCAACTACAGTGAACACGAAGTGCTATGCTAAGGAAGATGGGGGGAAACAACTAATGCCTAAATACAGGAGCGGGGAATGAGCTACAGACTGTGCTGCAAACCAGTAAGAGAGGCTTAGAAAACAGCAGAGAGAATGAATAAGCAAAAGCAATGAGGCACTCATAAAAAAAAAGGTTAAATCTCATCTCATTCTGGGGTTAGGTAAGTGAAGTATGATACACAAAACACACCTGGTACTTTTATCTGCACAACTTAATCCTAAACTGGAACTCTTGCTTTGGTTTGGACAGTACACTTAAGGAAACATGTAGACAAACCAGACATTAATGAAATACACATGACATAAGGGTTGGAAAATATGACTTGCGAGAAGCAGTGAGACTGTTAAGATGGACTACAGAGGTCTGCAACACAGGGATTAATGGGCTTCTAGCAGATAAAAGGTAGTTTGGAGTAAAAGGAGAAATTACCACCACGTGTCTTTGAAGGACCAGAAATAATTGGCAGCAAAATCAATTTGGATCATAAAAGCTTTCCAAGTCAAAGAGAGTATAATAATGGCCATGTACTGGTTGTGCAGGCACAGGGTGTCTTCAAAGAATACATGTTAGGGGCAGCTACTGTGTAGCTGATCTTGTCTGACTGCATGGAGAATGGCCAGACTACCTCTTATGGGTCCTTCCAGCTCTTCGCTACTCTGATCAGATGCCAACAGAAATATCCAGGGTAGTAAACAGAAAGATTCACTAATAGCCATTACAAAGCAGCACAAAATGCTTTTTGAGTGAGGTGGTGACTGAAAGCTGTCTCTCCATGCATTCACCCCAGTGCAGAGAGCGTAATACAAGCATCTGGTAGCAACTGAGCTGGGCAGAGACAGATGCTTCCAATCCGATCTACCCTGCAAGCAGTGGGTTGGAAAGACAGAAGAGATGGCCATGGGATGCCTACTTCTACCAGGGGAGTTGGCTTTAACTTTAAAAAGGAGGAAAGACTTAAGAGGAAGACTTTTTTTGCCGTTGTTTCACTACCCCTCTTCTAGACCTCTGCAATATGTTTCAGCTGAGAGTAGAAATACATACTTAAGAGAGGAAAGGAGCAGACTGAGTAAGCTGTCTATGCAGAGATGGGTGCTGGCTGACAAGATAGAATTGGCTCTTCCCTTGAAAATATAGAAGGACATGGGCACACACATTAGAGAGGTGATGGCCCTCTTTCTGAGACATGCTGCTGCGGCTCTGACCAGCAGTGTTCATTGAGCAGAGCTCACCCCAGGGAAAGCTGATTTTCTGAAGGGAGGAAAAGACCTGCTCCTAGAATGCAACTTCATTAGCCTGCAGTGATTGCAGGATACACCAAAGCCCATCTATTTCAGCTGGCACTGTGAACATGGAAGTGGTCTTCTCTGATTAAAAGGGCTCTGGCATCACTTTAGTACCTTCCTACCTGTTTGTTAGTCTCTTCTATAGTTATTCCATTGTTTCTAGGGGTAATAGGGGCTGGGTTTTCACACTGGCTGTACAGATAAAGGGAGTTCAACTGGGGGAGATTAAGGCCTTGCCTTTGGCACACAGTGCAGTGGAGAGCAGAAATACCTGTGACAGCGCTAACTGAGAAGAACAGGAAGCCCCCTATTGCTGCCAGGGCATGAGCAGCTACCATTGCAAGATCTTTCACTAACAAATCCAGGCATCACCAATGTGTGCAAGGCTAGCAAGGAGCCTCTGACCTTGCTTTGGTCTCCCTGGGCTTCTCTGTTCATAGAGAATCATTGACCATCATTCCAGGAATCCTCCTGCCAGATTACCAGGCACACCGGTTGACCACCCTGTTATTTAATCTTTTCAGGAGCTGCATTTTCTTTTTCTTCCTTTACTTTTACATTTGGGATGCCCAGAGCTTCACATAGCCAATGATTTTAAATGTATGAACACAAAAAGAAGTAAATAAAATACATTGAATAAATACAACTAAAAAGCTTAAACTCAATATCCAAACTCCTTTCATTTTTACTAGCGGCAGGCTATTTTTCAGGCAGACAACCTCCAAATCTGAGAATAATAATAATCAATATGAGAAAATAATAGTCAGAGAGGAAAACAGATTATTTTCTAACAGATACTATTCTGTAACAAATTAGTTTTATTAGTTCAGGTTATTTTAAAGCATGGTTTTGAAATGATGAGTATAACTCTTCCAAATGGAAAAGGATTTTGTAGTTATATTCTGCTTGGGTGTTTTTGCTTTTGTTTGTTTTTGTTTTTTTTTTTTACCAGATTAAATTTAATTTTGGGAAAATCAAAGCTCTGAGTTTCACCTAATTACAGGGTTACAGGACCTGGGGTTTTAAAAGGAAGCACGATATTGCAATGGGTTTGTTCTTAAATCTGTGGTGGGCGCTAGAAAAAAGATTATCCACAGGTACCTTGTTTACAGGTACCTAGAGTTTAGGTGTGCCAAAACCTGTATTTTCTCATCCTCAGAAAGGTGGCGGTCTTTCAGAGCTGGATACCCACATGTTTAGGTGAAAGCTAAGCCACAGAACTCAATTTTCCTGCTTAGGCCCATGTCTAATAGGCACAAATGGAATTAATAATACATGTGCATGGCTGTAAAATTCATTTGTACCTATGTTTTTCTTGGCAGGTAAATGGAAATGGAGTGCTGTCAGATTTTACCAGCAATAAAACACCTACAGCCAGTTAGCTATGCAGCAAGGCAGGGTACACCTCCAGGGCTGGTGACTGCATTGCATGCTCCAGCACTCAGCCAAGCCAGGAGAGCTGCTATGCACACTGCTGGGGGAGGATTTTGTGCAAGAAAACTAAGCAGGAGCTTTCTGTCTCACTAAACTCACATGTTAAGCATCACCTCTGACCATATATCCAGACTTCACCTTGAAGAGAAACACTCTGTATGCTACTTAGCCCCCAGCTTGCCAAGTGATACCAGCAAGAGTCCCTTCATGCATGCATTTATATCCAGAGAGATTCAAACTGTTGGGGGACGTAAAACTCTGCAGCCTTTGGGGTTACTAGACAAAGCAGAAGAAACAACAAACTCCTGCCTGAATGATAATGTAGAAGCTGAATATATCTGTAATATGTATCAAACACATTCATACACAACTGTCTATCTAAGCTGCTCTATAAATATTTTAGATAAATAGGCAGATAGACAGAATAGTGTGGAGATTAAAAGCAAAACAAACCAAAACTGAGTAAATTCACTCATTTGGTATTCTGGTCTGGACAGGATGGAACAAACAAACTCCATAATGCCCTTACCAGTATTGGTGATCTCCTTAGTGTGTTTACTCTGTTATACCATGAAATGATACTGACTTTGGGGTTTCTCTAAGATAGGTACAGATCCCTCCACCCACTGTGTCTTGCTCTTTGCTTCTCTTCTCAGGCGTGTTGCTTACCTTGCACGATCAAGTAAACCTGGGAAGTCTTGGGGTGATGCTGTGTCTGCACTGAACACGTATAGGACCCCTCATCGTAGACATCCACTTTCTGGATCCGCAGGCTGTATTCCAGGGGGTTTCTCTTCTCCAGCTCTACTCGAGGGTCCAGAGACCACTTGTCCTCTCCAGCAAAAATGATGCCGGAACGATTTAACCAGGCCACCTTGGAGCTTCTATCTTCTACATAACACCTGCAGAGGATGAGAAAGATGAGGGGGAGATTAACAAACCTCTCCATCATCTCCATTCTGTCTTTTCCATTCACTGCTTTGCTCAGAAACTCCACAGTACACTCTTGCCTTGCCAGAGAACCACATCTCCTCACTATTGCTGCCTCACGGTCATGTATTTCACAGTGGTTTTTGGAAGGGTTTCAGAAACATTTGGTCCATGGGATCTGTAGCCTACACCTGCACCACTATAGGACTATAAGGCTATAAGAGATCCTGGTCACTACATCCCTTCTAACCCTGCCAATGGGAAAGGTCAGAAGGAGTTCTTCCCATGCTTCTCCTTCACCTTCAAGTACACAAGAGTGTTATTTCCCAGACCCCTGCCAGTCTGGTGGGCAAAGATTCAGGGCTGTGTCAGCTAAGGGCACAGCCACTCCATCCCTCAGTTTCAGCAGCACAAGCAGAAGGCGCTCTAGTGTATGTCCCCTCTCCATCCCCTTAGCATGAAACAGCTTTGTTGAAAGGAGATTCACTCCTCCAACACCACCCTCCTAACACACACACAGTCTTGTCAACGCACATCTGCCCGCTTGTGCAGGCAAGTACAGATTTCAGGGTGCAAACGAGAGGCTTCAGGGGTGTCACTGCCATCCCTCTGACACATGCAGCATGTCCTGGCAACATCCCAGTTGAGACAGGAGAGGAGGAATGACAGCAAGGGGCAGCAGGCAGAGGAGAAGCAGCAGGACCAGCAACTGCCATAGCCTTGATTGCCAACCGCTACAAGGCAGAGGGTAGACTAACCCAGTTGGAGCTGCATGACAAGCGTTTTGTTCCTTATCAGAAGGTGCTGTGAAGACAAATGCATTTTGGGCCAAGGCACCTGCTCTGTACCACTTTCCACTTCCAGAAGGTGGTTTGCACAGAAGAGATGAGGAGATGCTGATGAGAGATCTAAGGCTGAAGAAGACATGGGGGCATCATTCTTCTTTCAGCCTGTCAGCCACACCTATCAGGGCCAGGCTCAGACAGCCTGGGAGGGTTTGCCCTGCAGCAGCACACACCGTGTTTGCTCTGCGGATAAAGAGGGAAGCTTAGCCTCCAGAGCTGTTGCTCCTTCACCTCTCAGAGCTCTCCCCACAGCCTACCAGCATCCAAATAACCCAGCACCTTTCCCCATAGCTAATCATGCATGCGGTGTGCTTGCAAGAGCAAAGAGAGAGGATAAAGATAGTTGCTTCAAGATAAGAGAAGTATTTGACAGTAGGCTTTCATACAGCTTCTTAGCACAGGTCAGACATTTTCCAAGTTCCTCTATTTGAATGCATTTCATTCATGCTGTGCTGCAGCTGCCATCCCTTGCGACATGACCCTACCATTACAGCCAGCAGCTCTCACCCCTTCCCTTTAGCATGCCCATGGATGATCTCCTAGCTCTTCTGGGGTTACCTGGGGGCAGGAGGAAGGCCAGGCTGTGTGCACATCAATGGGAAGCATGCCATATTGCTGAGCAAGCTGGAAGCAGCTCTGATACAACAAACATTTGCTTTACAGAGCAGTCCAAAAGGCCCCAGTCAGCACTGGCACCATCCAACCAAGGAAGGTCAGAGCCCACCTTCCTGGCCAGGCAGGCACCTGCCCTAAGATAAGCTCTCAGCTGTGATCTATGTTGTTTTAAAAAGCTGTGCTTTGGCAGGGCACTACTTCTACATGTAGAAACCAGCACCGCTGTGACACGGTTGGACAGAGCATTGGGTGACATGGTTTAGTGTGAGGTGTCCCTGCCCTTGGCAGGGGGTTGGAACTGAATGAACTTAAGGTCCTTTCCAACCCAAACCATTCTATGATTCTATGGCAGTGCTCTGGTTCAGTTGGGCACCCCAGGCTGTAATCACCAGTGATAGCAGGTAGAAGCAAGGACCCAGGGAGAACACTGAACCCCAGACCTGGGAGCAGGGGCCCTGTAGGAGCACCCAGAGTGTCTCCAGAGCCAGCTGCCTTAGGGTCACCAGTCTTCTTGCACACACATTTTAGAGTAGAGTCAGAATTGGGGGTTAAATCTTTTCCGAAGGTGTTCAGAGCCCCTTCCTGGATTGTGAGAGCTCCACGGGGGTGGCCATGAGCAGCTAAGCAGATTAGCAACTAAAGTTCCTGAATCACCTCTGAAAATCCCCCAGCACACCAAAGCATCGCACCAGCCCTGACAGGATGCTTTCCAGACCTACACTGCAGTGCTACGCGATACAGGGCAACACACTGTGGCTCTGCCTTGCACCTAGTCAGTAAAAGCCTCTGCTTGGAGGGAGCAAAGATGACCCTGCAATGTCAGGAACAGCTCAGTGGTGCAGCTGCAGCAAAGCCTCCTCCTCTGTCTCCTGATGGGACACTCACCCAGGGACCTTCCCTCCTCTTTGCTGAAAACATGTCATGACCTGTCCTACACCTGCTGAGGTCAGCCTAATGAAGATGGTCAAGAGCTACAGTCAGACAACCTTGCAAGGAAAATGGGAAGGGTAAGTAAAATGGATTTGAGCTGCTCTGTTCAGCATACCTGTTCCTCTCAAGCTGTCAGGGAAAATCAACATACAAGCGTGGAAATTCCAAGTACTGGCATGCTCCGAACATGAATCCATGTGGATGATCATAGAATCATAGAATCCACTAGACTGGAAAAGACCTTTGAGATCAAGTCCAACCTTTACACCAGGATGGCCAAGTTCATCACTAAACAATGTCCCTAAGGGCCTCATGTACTTGGTTTGTGAACACTTCCATCACTGCCCCAGACAGCCTGTTCCAATGCCTGACCACCCTTCCGAGAAGAAATTGTCCCTAATATCCAACATAAACCTCCCCTGGCACAGCTTGAAGTTGTTACCTCTTGCCCTATCACTTGTTACTGGGGAGAAGAGACTGATCCCACCTCCTGGCTCCATCCCCCTTTCAGGTAGTTGTAGAGAGTGATAATATCCCCCCTTGAGCCTTCTCCTCTCCAGATGATGCATCTCAGTATGTCTACCTGCACACACGCACCCTCTTAGTCTGCCAAAGATGCCACCCAGCTGTATGGATCACACTTTAATAAGGATTTATGGTGATGATTTTCACAGTGTAATAAGTGCTAATTCAATACTAATAGAATATTAAATGGCACGTTAACTGACATTCTAACTGCAATGCAATAGGAGCATGGCATCAGCAAGATATCAAATGACTCTTATGTTCACTAATAATCAATAATCAAGTTCACAGAGACACTTTTCATTAGGCTTATTGAAAGCATGAGTACCAGCACCAGTGAACGCTAATAAACAATTTGCGATCCATCCATTTTGCTTTTCCTTAGGGGTTCAGGTTTAATTTCTTGACATCTCTGATGCAGCTAACAAGAGGACCAGCTAGTGGTGATGGTCATGACTTGCATGATCACTGCAGGGACTTGGTAATTATTGATCTTAGCACCAATTCAAACCACAGAAGGAACTTGCCATCCTGCCCCTTTAGCCCTCCTTGGTACCCGGGTTTTTTTAGTGATGGCACCATATTTAGCTGTTACGGATGGGTTTCCAGTTCTCCCACAATGGCTAACAACACATGACAACCACCCAGGACAGGATGGTTGGAAACTGGATGTGGAGAAAGGAACCTGGGCCATCCCCACATGCCTACCCCAGCCTCAGTTTCCACACTTGCAAATCAGATGATGGGGCTGCAGGAGGGAGAGAAGAGGAGGGGGTGATACTTTTGCTGCAGGAGAACACGTTACGACTTTTAGCAGGAACCAACACTTCAAATGGGCATCAGTCAGCAATTGTATTGCGCATCACTTGTGTTTGCTGGATTTTTTTTCTTTTCCCTTACTCTTTTTGTTGTTTCCCTTTTCATTATTAGTATTAGTAGTATCATTAGTATTAACAGTATTAGTATTATAACTTATTTTAATTATTAAACTGTTCTTATTTCAATCCACAGGTTTTACCTTTTTCCCCGATTCTCCTCCCCATCCTACTGTAGGGGGAATGTGAGTGAGTGGTACTTAGTTGCCAGCTGGGGTTAAACCACGACACTCTCTAACAAGCAGTGCTGGGGCAAAGCAGCACTCGTGCAAGCCTGCCTTCACAGACTCTGAGATAAACTCCATCTGGGTAAGGAAGATGTATTTTTTCCCTCTTCTTGAAAGCATTTGGCTTTATTCCTATTGATAGGTGGGAAAGCAAGAGAAGAAAAGGAGAGGGAGGCTCAGCCATCCACAGCTCACCTGATGAGCACCAAGGCTGGAGCTCTCACCACCCGCTCTGCCTCACGTGGTTCTTGACTCCTAGCTCCAGGGACTCCTGCTTCTCCTCCCATCAAGGCATCACCACACTGTGCATTGATTTCCTAGCATGTTGCTGTAACACTCCTCGCAGTTGATGTTGTGTCTGTCACTCCAGCAGCTCTCGGCCCTAAGCTTTCCACCCCCCTTCCCTCTAGGGAACAGATGGGCACGATGCTGAGAGGCGGCATTTGGTTGGAAAGCCCCACTACAGGCTCCGCAGGCTGGAAGCCCCACTGCCAGGGTGGGAGATGCAAGAGGTGAGGAGGAGGATATAGGAGAGCTTGGGCTCACCAGCGTGCTTCCTCTCCTGCCCCAGAGAAATCAGCACAACAGCTACGACCCTAGGCTATGGAGATAGAGTGAGGGTATATTATTGCCTTCAAGGGGGTCTTTTCAGGGTAAGTTTAATGGTGTCTGGAAGGCGTGGATGATATTTAGAGCCTGAAGTGATGAAGAGGCAGGAAGGAAGCCCTCGTAAAGTTGCTGTTTAAATGATTACTTTAACATGGCAGGGATTTTACAGCATTATCAATGATGCATTGGGTCACCTTGAACCTGGGATAATTGTTTTGGGCTTTTTAAGTGGTGTTGTCATTCCAAATAAGTATTTTTGTTTACAGCAGACCCAATCCCACCATTCTCTGCCAGAGCCCCACTACTGAGAAGAAGTCACCTCCTAGGATAATGAAATACTTAACCA